CCCCCCCCCCCCAATATTAAATTTGAGAGAAACAAGAGATTATTTTTGCACTAATGAGGCATGAAGGTTGTCATTGTTTATGCTGCAATCTCCCATCTGCTTCCACTTCCCCTCTCACTGGACTGATGGATTAATCTGATTCAGTAAATTACTGTTCACCTTTGTTTCTGTGAATATTAGTGAATCTCCATTGGACAAGGGTTTACTGCATTTGCTTCTTGCTCATGTACTGGGATGTCATGCACATTGAGCAGTGTACACAGGGAGGACATGAAATATAAACTTCAAATACAGTATCTCACATCCTAGTATATCAGTGCTCTTCTTGGCCTTGTGGCAGAGGGGCTTGAATCATTTAATGTGACTGAAATTTTAAAACCATTTTCTGCAGCAGCTGTACAAAGCCACTGTTAAAAATGAGTAGTAAGAATTTGCAAGTTCTGATTTGCTGTTGCTGAAAAGTTTGCTTACATTCTCTCTTCTGATATAATGTAAGGCAGACTAGGATTGTTGCTGTTGGATGTTATTCTTAATTTGTTGTTTCATCCACAGGGAAATCATCTAGCTGTTGGAACAACATATGGTGGTGTGCAAGTCTGGGATATTGTTGTAAATAAACAAATTAAAATGATGCAAGGCCATGGAGGAAGAGTGGGTACCCTGGCTTGGAACGAAAATGTTCTGTCATCAGGAAGTCAGGATACCCTTATTTTACAACGTGATATGAGAACGCCTAGTCTTGTTGCAGAGAGAAGATTAGTAGGTCATCAGCAAGAGGTTAGTAGGAAATTATTTGTCGAATATTAATAGACAGGGGTCAACACAGATTAGTGCAGTTCACCAGGGTGACAAAAATTCTGTCTCTCACACATAACTCCATAAGAAACATTGTGCCTACCTGTGCTGTTTTAATTGCTCCAAACTAGCCTACTTCCCATTACATAATGTACAGAAAGATGTATAAAATATTGCCCCTTATGTAATGTAACATCATCTGTGGAGATAATGAGAAATGAAAGCAGGAGAGGATATTTATGAATAAATTCAAAGATTTCCATTCATCGGCCTCTTTAATTTATGGCTGAAGAGACAAATATGTTTGTTGAGCCCTGGTTATATTTAATTTTGTATTACTGATGAAGGCTCAGAAATATATTTTGTAATCAGTCATACAAATTTTATGATTGGTAATGACTTTAAATGGACCATGTGATTTGCTGCTGTTTATAGGTTTGTGGCTTGAAATGGTCTCCTGATAATAAATATCTGGCCTCTGGGGGCAATGACAATTGTTTGTATATTTGGGACTTGTGCTGCCTCTCGCCTGTTCAGAAGTACACCAAGCATTTGGCAGCAGTGAAAGGTATATATTCATCTCTGTCTTATCTCAATTTGTAATTCACTGAAACCTAATTCTGATCACTGACTACCCATTAAGTGTTGTTGTGTGTAAATAATAAAATAAATATAATATATAGTTGGTCTGAAACAGAGAGTACAGTAGAATTCAAGTCTGAATTTAAGAGAATTACAATTCAGCCCCAATGTGAGAAGAACTCGTAATGTCTGTAAATTTCTTCTGTTTTAATGGGTACTTTTAATATCATAAAATGCTTGAAATCTTGAAGTTCGTCTTCTGACATCTAATTATGTATATCACATTATGACATGACAATGTGAGGGGGCACGCAGTAGTGCAGTTGGTTGAGGCACTATGCTACAAGGTGGAAGGTCGTGGGATCAAATCCCGATGAGGTGGATTTTTTCAATTTACCTAATCCATCCAGCCACAGTATGGCCCTGAGGTCTACTCAGCCTCTAACAGAAATGAGTACCAGGAATATTCCTGGGCAAAACTGCGGCCGGCATATAAGGCTGACAACCTTACCGCCATCTGTGAGCCGATTGTCTAGAAAATGTTGGAGCCTCAACATCTCACATCCCTATGGGCCTCCACAGCCTGTTAAGTGGATACCTTTACTTTTTACAATGTGAGTACAGCAGTATTTATTCTCTTTGGTCCATTCACAATGAAAAGTTGCAAAAATGCACCTATCACCTTCAGTATGTCTACCCATATGTCTGCCTGTGTGCAACAATTTAAGAACCGCCAAATGGATTTTCATGGAGTTCCATATTAGACATTTGTACTAAACCTTTCTTGATACATTCCTGTTATGGTCAATATCTGTCAACAATGAGACTTATATGAAGGTCAAAATGTATTTTCTCATGCATTATGTAACTTGAAAATTATATAAAGTAAAAAAAATAAAGGTATTCCCGTAAGAGGCGGTGGAGGTCCATAGGGTTGTGAGATGTTGAGGTTCCCACATTTTCTAGACAATCTGTTAATAGATGGCGGCAAGGTTGTCAGCCCTACGCACCGGCCGCCCTTTATACCCAAGAATATTCCTGGTACTCATTTCTGTTTTAAGCTGAGTCAACCCCAGGGCCATAGTGTGGCTAGAAGGATTAGGTCAACTGAAAAAATCCAATGACCTCATCGGGAATTGATCCCGTGACCTTCTGGCTTGTAGCATGGTGCCTCAACCAACTACGCTACAGCGTACCCCCTGCTAATTATATATCAGAGCGAAGAAATGAAACAATAATTTTTATGACCAAAGGCAGGTAAAAATGCCCCAGCTTGTTTGAAATAATTGCCTTGTAAAATATGAAAATGGTGAAGAATGATTCAACATTGTTCATATTTTTAACATTTTCTGTAAGTCTCCATTATAGTATGTCTTGTATTCTCACCCAGTTATTTTACTTCATATGTACACTGTGTTAGAGGCCAGTTATAAATGCAGCAGAGTTCCCTTAAGTTTTGTGTCTCCTAGCGGATGGCTTCTGTCCTGACCATTGGTCCATCCGTTAGTGTGGATACAGTCATTCTTTGTGAAATTACTCAAAATGTGCAATTTCAAATCGCCATTCATCTGCATATGGTAGGATAATGGATGGCAGTCCTAGTGCATGGCAGGTGAACATACATGCATCACAACTTTGTTTTTGAATTATTATAAATATGATACATTTCTTTGAAATTTTTGCTTGTTGGATGAAAATTCCAGGTGCATGGATACCATATACTGGAAATTTACCATATTTTTCTCTGTGATTATACTATAATCTAGGAAATATTATAGGGATACAAGTAAAGGGAACATAAAGAGATTGTATATGACAAGTTAGAGGTGAACAGCAAAGAAAGTACAAAGTAAAACACTGATATCCACAAAGTATGCATTCTGTGCCATGACTGATGTATGTAAAGAAACAACTGTTGAATAATGAACACCTAGTATTGGTTTGTTGGCTGGAAGAGGTTGTCTGACAAACGAAACTTGTGCCAGACCACAGGTGGTGCTGAACAATGGAATGACAGATTTGAGAGGCTTTGCAACTTAATGATAAATTGGATGCAGTTTGTTATAAATTTGGTACATTAATATATTTTATTTTGCAGCTATTGCATGGTCCCCACACCATCGTGGGATCTTGGCTAGTGGTGGCGGTACACATGATGGGTGTATTCGTTTCTGGAACACACTCACAAGACAGCCAGTCGAGTGTGTAGACACTGGCTCTCAAGTCACTAATCTGGCCTGGTCAGAATTTTCCTCTGAACTGGTAAGTTTCTTACAAAGCAAATTAGTCCTCAATTTTATAGTAGAAATGGTATATTTGATAATAGTAAGGATTCTCTTTTATATTTGAAAGAGGTACTTAAGTAGTTTTCTTTCTTTCTTTTTCTTTTCTTTTCTGAGGTTAAATTTGAAAATACAATCCAGAGTTAATGAAATAGGACTATGGTAAATGTAAGCTTTAATGTGGCGGTGTGGTTCCTGCATGGCTTGTCTGGAATGAAAGTACTGTATTATAGTTGAGAGATTCAGTGTCTTGTTCCAAAGGAAGCCTTGAGTACTGTTCCCAGTGTCCGCTGAAAAGGAACCATGATTACGAAAAAAAAAAAAGTATGTTTCATATACCTTTTAACATGATTTCTGCCAGTATTAAAGAAACCTGTTAGTGAGTGAATGATTCAGATATTTAACATTTGGTATTTCTATTAAAAGAACCAACACACATGCACTGTGAATATGAACCTAATTATGAGGAGAAATGTAGTGTACTTTACATTAAGTTTGAAATACAAATTGGCATACTTCTCATAAATGATTATTATAATTCTTATTAATCTTCCCTTCATTTTTGGGAGATCTGTCAAAAATTAGTACTTCACATACTGTGTGTGTTGACAGTATTTGTGTGGCATCTCAGGGGACTGGTCTGTGATGTTGAGACTCTTGTTTGGCTTCAGCCACTAGAGCAGGAACATTTAGGGTATATTTGAAAGTCTGAATATTTAGTGTGTTTTTAGCCATTTGTTCATTTTAAAAATGTAATGATTCTGTCAGTTATCTGCAAAGGATATAACTAATTCTGTAAATATGTTGAAGCCTACCCTTTTAAGATGTTTTATATTTCTTGGTCCGTTGGAAAGCTTAATCTTCAGTATATTGCAGGTCAGCACCCATGGCCACCCTAAAAACAATATCCATGTGTGGAAATATCCTAGGCTCACACAGCTAGCAAACCTCACCGGCCACTCATCTAGAGTGCTCCATCTGGCAGTATCGCCTGATGGTGAAGCCATTGCAACTGGTGGTGCGGACGAGAATGTTCGCATTTGGAATGTTTTCAGCAGACCTTGTTCAGAGAAGGTGAGTGCTCAGTTTATCCAGTGGAAAAAATTATTCTCTAATGGATCATATTTTTTTAATATGATATTTATACTTATAGAAATTTTTAAAAAATATTTATTGTGATTTTCAACTTCTGTTTTAGGAGCATAGATCAGTCCTCAGTCTGTACTCGGGCATCCGATGATGGATTTGCAGATGGGAAGTTCATGCGAAGCTCAGGTCCTACAGCTTTTACTTTTTAGCACACAAAATAAGATGTTTATTTTTGTTAATATTTTGTTTAACACTGTTTACTTGTTAGCACACAAAATAAGATATTTATTTTTGTTAATATTCTGTTTAACAGCTTTTACTTGTTGGCACACAAAATAAGATATTTAATTTTGTTTATGTTCTGTGATTTTATTATACTGTTTCTTGCATTTAATAATTTATATGTAATATGTATCATAGGCATTTGGAAGCATTCACCTTGGAGTGCTAATAAATTATATTCTCAACTGCACATGACTTGTTATTTATTGCATAAAGATGTAGGTTAATTTGGCAAAGCTTCTAAACTAGGAGGAGGCTAGGTCAGAAGATATAACTTGGTGTTTTAGTGTGATAAATTTCCTGTCAAATTACAACTGAGATTATGCAAGTAACATACTAAAAGAGCTGGTGCATCAGTGATATGTCTGCAGGTAAGTAATCAATTTCAGTCAGATTTCCCTCCATCATTTCAGTCATTGAATAATATGTTGATATAAGACAGAGATGTTTCCTCATCTGTCTCCTGCATTGCTGTGGGTTATATAGCCTAGCCTCTGGTTGAATAATGACCAGATAATCTGTAAAGGGAGTGAATTCTGCTGGTATATGGACTTTCTTCTACAGGTACTCACTGTGTGGGTTGTTGCTTTTCTGCCTCGACCAGTGTAGTGATATGAGACCGGAGCTATAGTGCAGAGTAAGTGTAACTGGTCACTTAAATTGTCTATCTTAATAATTTCTCAGAATTAATTATATATGTATAAAACGCAGGGCCCATAATGTTTTTCATCACATGATACGCATTTATATTATAGAGTGGAAATTGCTGTGTATGATATGGATTACATGTGCTTAAGTATCTTGTTTTCTGTGATCACACCTCAGTGGAAATAAAATGTGAGATATGTCAAACTGAGGATGAAGTTGTCCACCATGAACTGACTGAAGATGATAGTTACAGAAATTGCTGAATCATGTGTAACTGACTAATCAAAGCTTGTATGTGCAATGATCATCTTATCCTTGTATAAAAATAAGGCAACTTTTCCTATCACTCTTACTTTACCATACATTTTTCTTAAATAAATGTACTGGTTAATGTTGTATTTTTCTTCTTATGAATGATACTGCTTGTAGTTGTTTTTCCTCTGCTAGGATTTTCATCTCTTTTAATAAGTACTGAAGTGGTGTTCTTTATTCAGTGGTAGGTAGTATGGATCATAAATTTCTTGAAAAGTCATGGACTTTATGTGATCAGAGGTTATCACAGTGATGAAGATTGACTTTGTGGTCTTTGGGTTGACACTCAAACAGACTACGTGTCACAGTCTAGAAGATTGCAGTATGAAGTGGTAGACTGTTTAACTTCATAGATATAAATATACATGGGGCAATCCAAAAGTTTCCGAAATTTGAATTTTGCGCGCAAATGGTTATGAGTACATCAAAATACCGCTAGGTGTCTCCTCACACATCCTTCTCGAATCAGTGTGGCAAGCGGCGTTGAATTGAGTGGTTGGGTTTATTGTTGGTGAACGTATTTCCGTTGTGTTTCCGTGAGTTTGCAGTTTTGCGATGGCTGACCTGAGAGAGCAGCGTGTCTGTATAAAGTTTTGTTTCAAACTTGGGAAAACCACTGCAGAAAAGCACCAAATGTTGAAGCAAGCTTTTGGTGAAAACAGTTTAGGCCAGACACAAACATACAACTGGTATAAGTGTTTCAAAAATGGCCGAACATTGACTGATGGTGACGATTGTTCGGGACGGCTGTCAACGGGCAAAACACCAGAAAGTGTCGCGAAAGTTAGGGATCTGATTCTGCAAGATTGTAGACTGACCATCCAAGACCTCTGTAACACCTTGGGACTAAGTTATGGTACATGTCAACGAATTTTGTCAGAGGAACTGAACATGAGGAGGATTGTGGCGAAGTTTGTGCCACAACTGCTGCAAAATGAACAGAAGCAGCATCGCTTGGAAGTCTGCAGGGAACTTCAGCAACAGCTTCAAGAGGATCCAAACTTTCTTTCGAAGGTTGTCACTGGTGACGAAAGTTGGGTTTATGGCTACGACCCTGAAAGCAAGCAGCAATCATCGCTTTGGAAGAGGCCTTCTTCACCTTGGCCAAAAAAAGCTCGATAAGTCAAGAGTGGACCGGCAATTTAAATATTTAAATCACCCTGGGGACCGGCACTTTTAAACCTACTACCCTAACTTGTGCACTGTTCACTTTAAAAATTAATATAAAATCTCCTAATTAATTTTATGAACTAAAATTTTTGGAGAACACACTTACNGCAGGGAACTTCAGCAACAGCTTCAAGAGGATCCAAACTTTCTTTCGAAGGTTGTCACTGGTGACGAAAGTTGGGTTTATGGCTACGACCCTGAAAGCAAGCAGCAATCATCGCTTTGGAAGAGGCCTTCTTCACCTTGGCCAAAAAAAGCTCGATAAGTCAAGAGTGGACCGGCAATTTAAATATTTAAATCACCCTGGGGACCGGCACTTTTAAACCTACTACCCTAACTTGTGCACTGTTCACTTTAAAAATTAATATAAAATCTCCTAATTAATTTTATGAACTAAAATTTTTGGAGAACACACTTACCAAGAACACTTACCAATGCTCCTAGAAGTGCTTGAGAGTGTGATATTTGTGGAAGAATTCCCCTTTGTGAAGTGGCATTACACAGAACTTGCACATGTAGACAGTCATACTCCTTTTGTTGTGTACTGTGCAAACACGACATCGCCTAGAAGGCTGCTTCCCCTTGGCATGTTCACTCTTCACAATTTTCACGGGGTATGTTTCTGCATATCACCCAAGAGTCGCCCAGGGGGGTCAAAATGAGGGCTGCGTGGGGTGGGAGTAGATGGCCCTGGTCGTACTAAGATTGTGTCTGCCGCCACCGTGTGGTCTGTGGCCCAGGCTTTTGCCACATTCAGCAGAAATGCCTTGTATTTCAATTTTGAATGAGGGTTTAGATTTTTGAAAACCAAAAATGAATTGAAAATGGCACAATTTATAAACCACAAGGCAACTTTCTTTGTCCACTTTACTGTTTTCCGAGGAAGAGGATAATAGGCCAAGTACTGATCGGCTCTATTAACTCCCTTCATGAACATACTATACTCAGAAATACAAACAGGCTTCATTACCTGTCCATGTCTCCTCTGAACATCAACCATGCTTGAATTGTGAATTGTGGAAATCATATTCACAACATGAGTATCCCTCCAGGACTGAAGAATATCCCCCTTCCTCCTGAATGTGGTTTCACCACATCAGAATGAGGCCTGCATGGGGTGGGAGTAGACGGCCCCAGTCGTACTAAGACTGTGTCTGCCGCCGGTCTTGCTGCCACCGTGTGGTCTGTAGCCCAGGCTTTTGCCACATTCAGCAGAAATGCCTTGTATTTCAATTTTGAATGAGGGTTTAGATTTTTGAAAACCAAAAATGAATTGAAAATGGCACAATTTATAAACCACAAGGCAACTTTCTTTGTCCACTTTACTGTTTTCCGAGGAAGAGAATAATAGGCCAAGTACTGATCGGCTCTATCAACTCCCTTCATGAACATACTATACTCGGAAATACAAACAGGCTTCTTTACCTGTCCATGTCTCCTCTGAACATCAACCATGCTTGAATTGTCAATTGTGGAAATCATTTTCACAACACGAGTATCACTCCAGGACTGAAGAAGAATATCCCCCTTCCTCCTGAATGTGGTTTCACCACGTTTCAGGGATTTACATTCCTCTTTCAGATCTGGAGGAAGGCCTCTGTTCACCCTAATTGTTCCACAAACACGCACTTTTCTTGAAAGTAGGTGTTCTGCAGTTGCCACACGGTTATAATAATTGTCTTGATAGACATGGTAATTGTGATCAAGATAGGGTTCCAAAACGGAAACAATAGTTTCTTGTAATTTCTTTCCTTCACCAGAATAAATTTCTAAATTTCCAATATAGCCTGAAGTGCTTTCAGTAATTACACAAAGAAGTATGCCATACTTTGTAAGTTTCCGAGGATTATATGTTCGCATACGAAGCCTTCCCCTCCAAGGAATCACAGATTCGTCCAAAGACAGTTGTTGGTTTGGCTTATAAACTGTCTGAAATTTTTGAACGAAAAAGTTCAATAAGGGCTGAATTTTGAAAAGCCTGCTTATTGATTGTGGTTGCAGTTCATTATCATTGAAATGCAAACACCACCAAATTTGCTCAAATCTCTTACGGCTCATTAGTTTGCCAAAAATTGGAATTTCTAAAAATGGATCTGTTGACAAATACTCTTTCAGATTATCCCTCCTTGTATGACCCATTATAAATATTATTGCAAAATATTTTCTCATTTCTGCTGAAGTGACATCCACCCACTTCAACGCCTTATAACTTCTGTCATAATGTTCACTGTGTTGGAGATAGTATCTGTTAGTTTCCTGACATAGCGTGTCAAAGGAACTATCTCCAAAAAACAGTTCCACTATTTCAGACACTTGTGTTGAGTACAATGGAATTTGCTTCACCCCTGGATTTCCAGTAAACTGTCCCAAAGCAGGCGTTTTGTCTACTTTTCCCCATGTGGCTCTCCCCGCAATGTTGCTACCCGCACTTTTGTCAGAGCTACTGTCATTTTCACTTTCACTGTCTGTGTAAACAATTTTTGTTCGCCCCTGCCACACTCACTATCAGACTGTGAGTCGCTATCACTAGCAGACTCACAAGGGATGTCAGATAGCTCATCAGAGAACAAGTCAGATATTTCTTGTTCTCCGAGAAAATGCTTGGACGTCAACCTCTTCCGACCTTGATCCATATTGCACTAGTAACTTCCTTCCTGGTGCATGCAGCTGGAAGATGAACAAAGGCATTTTTTTTGGAGTGAGAAAGGAAAACACTTGGGTCATAAACAGTGGGGTCATGTTACTGACTACGATGCAAACATTCAAGAGGTCTATCATGCACCAGTCATGCATCTGCCTGGCGCCAGTGCAAGGTATAGTGTGTTTCAACATAACGTGTCCTGAAGTCATAATAATATGCCACCAGTCCGCCATGTTTAAAAGCGCTGGGCATAAAAATATGCCACCTGTCCGCAAAGTTTTAAGTCTATGTTGATCTGTTTTTTTGATATTGACAGGATTCTTCATAAGGAGTTCATCCCTCCTGGTCAGACTGTCAATAAGGAGTTCTATTGCGATGTTCTAAGGCCTTTGGGGGAGGACATGAGGAGAAAACGTCCA